CCAGAAGTGGAATGTTCCACAACAGACCAGGGCGGTGAGCCAGAAGTAGAACGTTCGAATAAGGCGGGGAGCCAGAAGTGGATCATCCCATCATAGATGAAGGGGGGAACCAAAAGTGGAACATTCCATCACAGACCCAGGAGGGAGCCAGAGGTGGAACATTCCACCATGGGCCAAGGGGGTGAGCCAGAAGTAGATCATTCCATCATAGACCCAAGGGGGAGCCAGAGTTGGAGCATTCCATCACAGACCCAGGGAGGAGCCAGAGGTGGAACACTGCAACCTAAACTAAAGTTGTAGCCCTCACACTTGGGTAGGGAGAAACCCGCAGTATGCAGAGCACAGGTACAATGCACCCCTTCAGGATGGATGCAGACAGACTAGGGAAATGCCCTTCTTCCTGAAGAGGCAGAGGCCCCTGCATAGCTCAGGACCCCAAGAGCAGACAGCTATGGTGATGGGTGAGTGGAACTCACTGGGACAGAGCTGGGCTGGGCTCTCTCCATCAGATCCACTGCCCAATATCCCTTCCTACATCTCTGCCCACTGGGGTTCTCACTCAGACTCTCTCAGAGCTTGCCAAAGTCCTGCTCTGACGCCCAGGCTAACCTCCCGGATCTCTCTCTAGCTCCCGTGGTTCTCACCTTGGGGTGATTCTTCTCCCACCCCATCAATGTCCAGAGACACTTTCTGGCTGTCACCCTTGGGGAAGAGGGTTCTACTGGTGTCTGGCGAGTAGAGGCTAAGATGCTGTTAAACATTCTGTCGTGCACAGGGTCAGTACTCCCTACCCCTATAACAAAGAATGATCTGGCCCCAAATATCAGTAGTGTTGAGGTTGAGAAACACTGGCTTAGATGATTCTCTGCCAGAAAGTAAGAACCACCTTGGACCATTCAATCTGGAACAGATGCAGGGTTGCACTCCAAGGCAATTCTCCAGACTCAGCTGAGTCAGACATCTCTGTATTGTAGAAGTCTAGCCATAGGTCTCATGTCAATGAGAAGAGATAAATCAAAGCTGGAAACGATGCATAGATTGAGATATTTACAAAGAAGGAAGTTTAAAAGTCCTCTATCTGGCCCTGCTGACTTCATCACCCCCTTCCCCGAGCTCACTTCCTGCAGCCACGCTGGGCG